TTAGCCATTCTGATAGGTGTTAAGACCAAAGTAGTTTTGAGTTGCATTTCCTTGATGGCTAATGTCGTTGAACATTTCTTTGTTTCTCAGCTACTTGAGTCTCCTCTATTGAGAATTCCCTCTATAGTTCTGTACCCCATTTTTAAAATTTGGATTGTTTTGTTTGTTCATGTCTAGTTTCCTGAGTTCTTTACATATTTTTGATATTAGTCCTCTGCTGGATGTGGAATTGGTGAAAATCCTTTCCCACTCTGTAGGCTGCCATTTTGTGCTATTGACTGTGTCTTTTGCCTTACAGAAAATTTTTCAGTTTCATGAGATCCCATTTACTAATTATTATTTGTTAGGATGGACATTTTTACTAAGCTAATTGTACTGATCCACAAGCATGGAAAATCCATCTTCTGATATATTCTTCAATTTTCTTCTTGAAAGACAAAGTTTTTGTCATACAAGCCTTTCACTTGCTAGGTTATAGTTACCCCAAGACATTTTATATTATTTGTAACTATTGTGAAGGGTATTGCTTCTCTGATTTTTCTCAGCCCATTTGCCATTTATATATAGGAGGGCTACTGGGTTTTTTTGTTTGTTTGTTTGTTTTAGTTAATCTTGTATACAGCCACATTGCTGAAGGTGCTTATCAGCTGTAAGAGTTCCCTGGTAGAAATTTTTTTTTTTTTTTTTTTTTACGAGACAGGGTTTCTCTGTATTGTTTTGGAGGCTATCAGTCCAGCCTGGCCTCGAACTCACAGAGATCTGCCTGCCTCTGCCTCCCAAGTGCTGGGATTAAAGGCGTGCACCACCACCGTCCAGCTCCTGGTAGAATTTTTGTGGTCACTTATATGTACTATCATATCATCTGCAAATAATGATACTTTGACTTCTTCATTTCTAATTTGTATCCCCTTCATCTCCTTCAGTTGTATTATTCTTTTAGCTAAAACTTCAAGTAGTATATTGAATAGATATGGAGAGAATGGATAGCCTTGTCTTGTTCCTGATTTTAGTGGAATTGCTTTGAATTTCTCTCCATTTAATTTAATGTTGTCTATAGGCTTGCTGTAAGTTCCTTTATTATGTTTAGGTATGTTCCTTGTATCCCTGATCTCTTCAAGACTTTTGTCATGAAGGGGTATTGGATTTAGTCAAAGGCTTTTTTAGCATCTAATGAGATGATAATGTGGGGGTTTTCTTTCTTGAAATTTGATTTTCATATATTGAACCATTGCTACATGTCTGGGATGAAGCCCACTTGATCATGGTGGATGATGATTTTGATATATTATTGAGTAGTTTTGCATCAATGTTTTTTAGGGAAATTGGTCTATAATTATCTTTCTCTGTTGAATCTTTGTGTGGTTTGGGTATCAGGGTGACTATGACCTCATGAAATGAACTTGGCAATATTCTTTCTGTTTCAATTTTGTGGAACAATTTGAGCAGTATTGGCATTATCTCTTTTTTGGAAATCTGGTAGAAGTCTGCACTAAAACCACCTGACCCTGGGCTTATAGAAGCAGTAATTAAAAATCTCCTAATTGGTTGACTTAATTACTGCTTCTATTTTCTTAGGGGGTATAGTTCTACTTAAATTGTTTGACTGCTCTTAATTTAAACTGGGTAAGTGGTATCAATGAAGAAAAATTTCCATTTCTTTTAGATATTCCAATTTTGTGGAGTATAGATTTTTTTAAATATTACCTTGTTGAATGAAGCCTTTTCCTTGCCAGCCACTTTGGTTTTTCCCCACCAGTTGCCTGGGCTCTGCCACGTTATAGTCCCCAAATAACACATAAGACCTGTATTAATTATGAAGCTATTGGCCATTTGTTTGTTTCTTTCTGGCTAGCTCTGACTTAAGTATTTAACCCATCTAAGTATATAACCCATCTAACCCATCTAAGTATTTCTCTTACCAGAGAAAAGGTCCGGATTTCTTATCCCTATGACGGCTACATTGTGACTCCCTGTGTTTCTCCTTCCCAGAGTCCTCCTGGACTCCTAGTCCCATCTATCTTGATTGCCTATTGGCCAACAGTGCTTTATTGACATATACATAGGACTTCCCCATCATTACCTAATTCTTTGGATTTCGTTGGTGTGTGTTGTTATGTCCCCCTTTTTTGTTTGTGATTTTGTTAATTTGGATATTCTCTCTCCGTCTTTTAGTTGGTTTGGATAAGGGTTTATCTTGTTGATTTTTTCAAAGAACCAACTCTTTGTTTCTCTTTGCATTGTTCTCTTTGTTTCTAATTTTTGATTTAAGCCTTGAGTTTGATGATTTCCTGCTGCCTATTCCTATAGGGTTTGCTTGCTTATTTTGTACTCAAACTTTCAGGTGTGCTGTTAAGTTGCTAGTATGAGATCTCTCAAATTTCTTTATGTAGATACTTAGTGCTTTGAACTTTCATCTTAGGACCAATTCCATTATGTCCCACAAGTTTGGATATATTGTGTTTTTTTTTTCACTGAATTCTAGGAAGTCTTTAATTTCTTTCTTATTTCTACCTTGATCTAGTCGTTCAATAGAGTTGTTTGGTTTCTCTGAGTTTGTAGGATTGCTGTTGCTTCTATTGTTGAAATCCAGTTCGAATTGGTAGTCTGATAAGATACAGGAGGTATTTCAGTTTTCTTCATTCTGATGAGACTTCCTTTGTGACTGAGTATATGGTCAGTTTTGAGAAAGTAGTGTGAGTTACTGAGACGAAGGTATATTCTTTTGTGTTTGGGTGAAATATTCTGTAGATATCTGTTAGGTCCAATTGGTTCATAATGTTTGTATACTCCAGTATTTCTCTGTTTAGTTTTTGTCTGGATGATATGTCTGTTGGTGAGAGTGGGGTATTGAAGTCTTTTATTATCAATGTGTGACAGTTGATGTTTGATTTAAGCCTTAGTAATCTTTCTTCTACAAACATTGGTGCCCTTATATGGACTTTGTTTGAACAGAAGATCTCTGCCTAAATTTGGGGTTGAGACTTGGTGATGGGGAGGGGAGGGGGCATTGGGGATAGTAGAGAGGAGGTCCAAGGGCAAGCAGCCTATCTGGAGTTCTGGTGGCTGGTGTGATCTCTAGCCCAGCAGGGAGTCTCCTCTTGAGTTCTCCTACCTGCTCTTCTGGCTGGTGTGGCCTGAACTTCAACCAGAGTTAAGTATTTTTAATAAATAGTTTTAACAGGGAGAATGATGAAAGTATACCACAGAAATTTCCATGTTTATATTGGTTGAAAGTTTATGACAGTGGGCTAGGAGGTGGCTCTGTGGAAAAGGACTTGCTTATGCCTTATGGACCTGATCAGTTCACATCCCCAGAGCCACACAAACTTCAGGTAAGTCCACAGCCTGCGTGCAATCCCAGTGCGTAGAAAGCAGAAACAGGGATCCTGAGAGCAAGCTCACTGCTATACTAGCCAGCCATATGGGGGAACTCTGGGATCAAGTGGAAGACCCTTTCTCATATGTGTGGGGGAGAGTGGTCAAAGAAGACCTCTGACCTACACATCCGTGTGCATGTACAACCACACATGGATGAACACCACACATACAAGAAAAATCTTTTGATACTATCTGACATTCAATAGAAGAAAATGAAGGCAAGAGCTAAAAGACACCACTCAAAAAGGTGATTTTAAAATTCTGTAAGTGTGTGAAAACTTATGAAAGATTATTTGTAATTATAGATAAGCAAGGTTAAAGCAAAACTGAGAACAGAGGCATCCCCATTACTTTCAAGAGCTGTCTAAAAGCAAAGTATTATTTTCTCCTCCTAAGGTAGCATAAAGTTTTAAAGTGACCGTTTTCATTGCCAGTCATGAACAGGCCTGGCTGAGTATAGAGTAAAAAACTGACCAGACCCGAGTGATGAGAGTCTGAGAAGCAGACATGGGGCAATCGCTGTGCCTCAGGGTCTCAGGGTTACTGTCCAGGGGGCCTAGTTGACACTGGTAATCCAGATGTCTTCTCTAGGACAGGAAGATTCAGACCCGAACAAGGAATTCACACAGCTCTGCAAACTAGTTAAGGCTTTTGGATTTTGCTGTGTGTGACCCTATATATGTTCTTAAACAGTAAAGCCATGACTGGTTACTGTTTGGTGCATGGACTGGAGTAAAGACTGTTCTGAGAGCAGTTTGCAATGTATAAGGCTCTGTGACATCCTTTAATTGCTTCGTAATTAGAAGCACATCCTAAGAAACCCCCTTTACTCACTTGTTATCACTGTGACCAGACTGCCCGACAGGAACAATGTAAGAGAAGAAGGATCTAGCTGGGCGCATGGTTTGAGGTGGTTCTGTCTGTCATGGCAGGGAAGACGTGAAGAACAGAGCAGGCCAAATCAGGAAACAGACAGATGCCAGCCAGTTCCTACATCCTAAAGTTTCTAGAACCTTCCAGAATAGTGCCTCCAATACTCTCCTTTTGGAGAGACACTATATCTTCAAACCATAATAAAATAGTCAGTATTCTAGTCAAGGATTTATGTGTAAAGATCTTTCCATACTGTCCTTGGGAATCTCAGAAATTGGAGGAACGTCTTTTAAAGGGAGGATGGTTTCAAAAGTCAATATAGTCTCATACTAGTGCTTTTTGTGAAAGACAAAAATCAAAGGAAAGTATCATACAGTATGATGATAAATATGCTCATATTCCTATTCATAATAAAGGAAATATTAGAAACATTCACATTAGTTGTGCAAAATTTTTATAGATGAGGATTTCTTCTATCTTTTTGTTTTATATTATAAGTTTTCCTGTGGTTTAATTTATATCTGATTTCTAGATAAATAAATGTCTATTTTAGGTTTCATTTATCAATGGCAAATTTTTTCATGGATATGTGATACCTATAAAATTTCTTTAAAAAATATGATATTCCATTTATCACACTTCTATTTTTATGAAACTGAGGCATGTTGTACATGTTTTCAGGCGCATAGAATTTGTACATGTTTCTAACAGGTCATCAATTTCTCCTTTACTTATCTGTCCTCTTGCAGGCATTTGCCTGGTGGCCAGACTTACTGGCTGAACATGCAGAGAAGTTCTGGGCTTTATTCACAGTAGATATGGATACTGCGCTGGAGGCCCAACCTCAAGACTCCTGGGATAGCTTTCCTCTTTTCCAGCTGCTGAATAATTTCCTCCGAAATGACAGTGAGTCCCTGCATTTCCCTTCCTGTATGAAATGGCAAGGGATGGGTACATATCATCTGTGAATATGTATGCACATAGCCCAGGTTTGAGTTTAGTAAGAGTCAGCATGAATAACCAGGGTGCTTACTGAACCTGTGTGAGTCTCTCATTCCAGAGTCTAAGGGAGATGACACCTCACCTCATTCACTGAACTGCAGAACAACTGTTATCTGGAATGCACAGCTTTCTCATTGAACCTCGAGGATCAGAAAACTTAGAAAGTCTGTTATTGACAGAGTACATGAGACTGCAGCCACCTGAAAGACACTCCATGTGTCAAGATTACCTTGTAAATGCACTATGTTTATGATGCTTTCCTCAGATAATTGTAAAATATTGCTACGTGTATGACTTGTTCACTCATATTTAGAAACCAAAGACAAAGTACGGGTCCTCTATTGAGACCGTTTCCCAGTATAATAATAACTTTCATACTTATTCCAGTAGGTAGTCTAGCGCCTGGTTTTTATTAAAATAGTAGTATATAGATTTATGAACCTTTCCTGTGATAGGCTTTTTCCATCTTCTCTATACTAGGTTCAGCTACCAGTAACTGCTCTTACACTGTGTGTGGGGGGTGGGGGTCACTAATTCCCTACTCCATACTGTTTGTTCTTGCTGTTACACACCGTGCTGGGCTCAGAACTCTGTGTCACCCAGACTCCATACTCCTATTGCCAAAGGCTATTTACACTGTCCATACTTTCTATACAGTTAACACTTTCTGTATATTCAAACTCCAAGTCATTTTTGTTGTCTTTCAAAGGTATTATTGCATTTTTTCAGTTCTAAAATTAAATCTGTGTCTTTACAGTAGTGGTTTTAATTTTGTTAATTACTCCTTGGTTTTGTTCATTGTTAGAACTTGACATCTGTCTCTGTATAGTCATTCATCCCTTTAAGTCTACTCCTCTCAATCTGAGGAAGAAGTTCCCATAGATATGAAAGCATGATGCTGTACACCCCAAGTCCATCGTGGTTTCAGATGTTAGCCAGACTGAGAACCCCTGTGATAGTAAGAAAGGTATTGTATTATATAGTACTTAACAACACTGGCTTCATTCCCTAGAGTCTCGTCTCTGCCACTTGACCTTTGACAGTAGTTTAGCCTCTCTAGGCTATAAGGTCTTTATTTACAGAATGAGAAGGGTAATTACACTTACAGCGTCATTGGTTGTGAGGATAAATTGAACAATGACTCATATGTAATAGATGCTAAGTGGGTATCATGAATACTGTAGACTTTCCATTTGTAATTTCAGTCTTGAGGAACTGAGTTCAACCCCAACACCAGCATGAGAAACCATGCATGATGATATGCCCTTGCAATCCCAGGGTTAGAGAGGTGAAAACAGGTGCATCACTGACTATCACTGACTGGCCAGCCTAGCATAATCTGCAAAATCCAGACCAGCGAGTAACACTGTCTCAAACAGCAATATGGACAATTTCTGAGGAAGGTCACTGGAGGTTGAATCCTGCCCTCCACCCATATGTGTATATGAACAAACATATATAGAACCATATTAATTATCTGTGTTGGCATTTATTCAAAAAGAGTAGTTAGTTAATGTTCACACTCAAACAGTAAAGATAATAAGTTATATAAGTTATATAAAATACTTGGACTTTTCATACAGGAAAATAAAATACTTTATAGATTTCTTGGAATTTGTCTTGAATATTCACAAGTACATCAATGTTGTAATATTGTTCCATATTTATTTTTGAGAAATACTCATGTATTTTCAAGAGTAAATTTTTGAAATATCAGAGTAAAATCTACAACATTGTTTAATCTTTGTTTTATATGTGTATATGTGTGCCCTGATACATGTATGTGCACCACATGTATGTACACATCACACAAGACATCAAGTCTCCTAGAATTGGAGTTACAGTCAATTGTTGGTCCTGTGAAGCAAATATGAGTCCTCTATAAAAACAATAAGGACTTTTAACCATTGAACCATCTCTCAAGACCCAAGAGAAAGACAGGATTTTAATTTGGGAGGTAGATTCACAAATACTGAGTTCATGAGGGTTTTATATTCCATTCCTATTTTGTAATGTGTCCTTAGCATTGACTACTGTTTAGCACATATGGCACTATTTTGGGTTATTTTGCTATGCAGTCATAGATCAACAGAGAAGCATTTATTAGAGGCCTCTTTGGGGCCCTGTCAAAATTGAGGGTGCCTATATCTTGGCTTGGATTTTGCAGTGATTAACAGATTTGAGAAAACATCAATTATTTCTGAGAAAAACAGCTCCTTCATGTAGTTGAGGTAAATAAAAAGTTCCCCAGTGCCATAATTTCCTTTTGGTACTGGGAGATTGGTGCAGCCTGGGGAATTGAAGGAGGATGAATAATTTTCATCCCAAACTTACAAGTTTTGTTTCAAAAGCAAGGCCACTAAATAATTCTCAGTAGTTGCTAAAACATACTTTTTTCCCTGGCTATTACCATCACTTTTTATGATAATTAAGACAATTGTAAATAATCATGTGTTTGTCTTATTGCATTCCTTCTACAGTGATTTGGTGAAATCTGTTTAAATATTTAGTGTCAACTTAAACTGCCCTCAAATTATCCATTTTGAAATCTATGGGAAAACATTGTCTTTCCTTTAGTCCTCCTTGAAAGGGAGATTTACATAACAGACATGCTGTTGCAGTTTTTACCATATTGACCCAATTAGAGTTATTGTCCAAATCCCAATTAATTACAACTTAAACTAGCCAGGAACAGTAAAAACAGAGAGCTTTGAGTGTTTAGTCTTGGGATGGGAGATAATTTGCTGAATAATGGTGCTTCCTTATACAGATGATTGTGTATGGGGGGAGGTGTGTGCTGCAGAGGGTGTACTGCTAATTACAGAGGATTTTAAATGATCATGATGCATTACTAATAAATAATTAATCTTACATTTGCTTTTCCAAAATTTAAAATGACTAAGACCATTCATTCAAAATAAGATACCAGTAACTGTAACTTATAATTTATTCTTTATAGGTGAACAGTCTTTACTGGCCCCAAAAGTTATTTACCATCATTTTGTATTAAGATCTTCATGCTTGGTATTTAAAGTGAACTGTTTCATCTTTTGGCCTGTGGGCGGGGGCGGTCCTAAGAAAGGATTCTTGGTTTTCTAGCTGAGGAGACTAAGGCTGGTGAAGGCAGTGAGTCTGAGCAGAGGCTTTGCCCACAGGGAATTAGGGATAGAGATGGGTCTGGGGCAAGATCACTAGTTGTCACCAGTTCAGTTTCATCCCACAGTAAGAAAACATATTCTGGGGGCAATTATGCAACAATATCTTACTTTTAAGCATTGCTTGAGCTTTTGATTTTAACTTAGAAAGCATTTATAGGGCACTGAGTTATGTGGACAGAAAGACGGAGTTGGTTCTCAAGTACAGAAAGGGTTAGATAAAGATGTTAGGAAGCATCTGTGACAAGATTTCCCTAGGAAATTAGTGGTGAAAGGGAGCAAAGACGTCAACTTCTGTTTTAAGGAGGAGAAATTTATGATGTCTGAGGTGTGTGTCTTCCCTTGCAGTTAACAATGATGAGAGCACACCGAAGCTCTGAGAACACTTGCAGATGAAATGTGGTTTTCCTCAGGGGGAAGAGTACCAGCTGCATCACGCTTTTAGCAACTGTCCCCAACCTCCCACCCTCACGATTCCCAGAGCAAAGCCGGTGAGGTAAACAAACTTAGGCTCCATTCCTGGCCAAAAAAGACTGAGCCTCTGCTTGCCTTCCACGCTGCCTCTGTGCACCCCATCTGCTCCCCCAACTAGAGATAATTAGACAGGCAGTTGCTTTAAGAGATATCCAAGGACGCGCATTTGAAAGAGCGATGTATTAAAAGTTGAAGGGAAAACAAATGTTTTCATAATGAAGCAATTACCATGTTAGTTAAATGATAACTAAATGACTACAAAGCAACTACGAATAGATTGCACCCTCGCATAGTCTTTTCCACAATTGTCCTGTGGAGAATAGGTGCAGCCAGTGACCGCTCCTGACAAATGAAAGCCAGCTACAAATGGCACAGATCATTTCTTTCAGCACGGCTGAAAGGCGGGCCCTTGGAGACAGTCACCTTTTAATCTGTGGATATGCTAGCAAGTGGCAAATGACCATTCTATTGGGGACTGATTCCCAAGTGAAAAATACCACGGTGCTTCTTCCTTAATTAACAGCCTTTTCACATTGCTAGCACATTAAAGCCAGCCCGGAGAACACCCGTGCTTATGTAATCAATGTCACAGCGTCTCTGCCTAAAGGAATAATAAATGTTCGGGCTCTGTGCTAAGTGAAAACCTGTTCCCCAAGACTTTCACCTTCATAAAGATGGGCTCATAAAAATCGAAAACGGGAAAAATTGGAATTTGGTCTCATGAGGATAAAAAGGCTAGTGTTAATAATTAACAAGGAGAGTGAAGAGGAGTCAAATTAGCCATAATAGAGCCCAGAGTGACTGGCAAAGTCACCTCTCATTATCAAAAAACTCATTAAGAAATGAAGAGGTGGAAATCCCGCTGGGTTATTCTCACACTTAGGCTGTATCAGAGATTATTTTTCAGATTTCTTTCAAACGAAGAACTGTTAGGTCACCATATTGTATATTAGGTTAATCTTCAAGCTTTGAAATATCAAGGACTGACACCTGCGTGTCATTCCACCCCCAGTGCTTAAATGAGCTGTGTGTCTGAAATCCACGAAGTGGTGTTTATAGAGTTATCTGTATATACACACAGAGAGAACAATGCAGAAAGGGTATCAAGTCTGCAGTATACCCAAGCTGTGTGCCAGCAGCTCTAAGGATAGCTCCTCTACAAGTGATGGGATGACCACCCAATAGGAAAATGTATTTAACTCTAATCCCTAGAGATGATTGAATTTTAAATTATACAACAGAACTTGTTCTCCTTGAACAGAATAATGAAAGAAT